CAATATAATATGTAGCATATAAGTCAGCTGTATGGACCTGTAAGTCAGTGGTATGGATCTATGTCTGCTTGTGGTTTGGATCTATAAGTCAGTGGTATGGTCACGTAAGTCAGTGGTATGGATCTATAAGTCAGTGGTATGGTCCCGTAAGTCAGTGGTATGGATCTATAAGTCAGTGGTATGGTCCCATAAGTCAGTGGTATGGTCCCGTAAGTCAGTGGTATGGATCTATAAGTCAGTGGTATGGTCCCGTAAGTCAGTGGTATGGATCTATAAGTCAGTGGTAGGGTCCCATAAGTCAGTGGTATGGTCCCGTAAGTCAGTGGTATGGATCTATAAGTCAGTGGTATGGTCCGTAAGTCAGTGGTATGGTCCCGTAAGTCAGTGGTATGGATCTTTAAGTCAGAGGTATGGTCCCATAAGTCAGTGGTATGGTCCCGTAAGTCAGTGGTATGGATCTATAAATCAGTGGTATGATCCCAAAAATCTGTTCAGTTGTATGAACTTATATGTCACTGGTATAGACCTTTAAAATCAATAATATAGATCTAATTAGTATGTAGTTTGGGTGTGTAAGTCAGTGGTCAGGACCTAATAAGTCTGTGGTATGGACCTACATGTTAGTGGTATGGACCTTTAAGTCAGTGTTATAGACCTAATTAGTCTGTGGTATGGACTTTTAAGTCAGTGTTATAGACCTAATTAGTCTGTGGTGGTCAGTGTTATAGACCTAATTAGTCTGTGGTATGGACCTTTAGGTCAGTGTTATAGACCTAATTAGTCTGTGATATGGACCTTTAGGTCAGTGTTATAGACCTAATTAGTCTGTGGTATGGACCTTTAGGTCAGTGTTATAGACCTAATTAGTCTGTGGTATGGACCTTTAGGTCAGTATTATAGACCTAATTAGTCTGTGGTATGGACTTTTAAGTCAGTGTTATAGACCTAATTAGTCTGTGGTATGGACCTTTAAGTCAGTGTTATAGACCTAATTAGTCTGTGGTATGGACCTTCATGTTAGTGGTATGGACCTTTAAGTCAGTGTTATAGACCTAATTAGTCTGTGGTATGGACTTTTAAGTCAGTGTTATAGACCTAATTAGTCTGTGTTATGGACCTTTAGGTCTGTGTTTTAGACCAAATTAGTCTGTGGTATGGACCTTTAGGTCAGTGTTATAGACCTAATTAGTCTGTGGTATGGACCTTTAAGTCAGTGTTATAGACCTAATTAGTCTGTGGTATGGACCTTTAGGTCAGTGTTATAGACCTAATTAGTCTGTGGTATGGACTTTTAAGTCAGTGTTATAGACCTAATTAGTCTGTGGTATGGACCTTTAGGTCAGTGTTATAGACCTAATTAGTCTGTAGTATGGACCTTTAGATTTGTGTTGTAGACCTAATTAGTCTGTGGTATGGACCTTCATGTTAGTGGTATGGACCTTGAAATCAGTGTTATAGACCTAATTAGTCTGTGGTATGGACCTTTAAGTCAGTGTTATAGACCTAATTAGTCTGTGGTATGGACTGTTAAGTCAGTGGTATAGCCCTAATTTGTACAAAGTCTGGGCCTGTATAAAACTGAGCAGTCGTTGTGTACCGGTAATTGTTGAATTCATGACCTACACTTCAGAATAAATGCACAGTTTTACTTTCCATTTATCAACCAATGAGAATGAACTTATCATTACATTCATGTCTTCAATTTGTATTCATGACTGCTTTTAGCAATGAAACCTGACAGACATCATACATTGTGCTTACTTTAATAAATGGCCAAGTTCACACTCCAGTTGGTGGTCTTACCCAGCTAAGCCACAGGACAATTGTAAAGAAATGGCTTGGCCACTTTGCTGAGAACACTAATCTATTTTCATTGATTTTACTCTCCAGTGACAGGCTAAATTACAGGCCATAGATTAACACTAACTACACCAGAAGTCCATCCGGAATCATGTGCTGCGACAAGCAACAGACCACTTGTTGACCATCGAGCTGCCATCAATTTATTTTGCTGATCTTAGCAAATATCTTAACAACACAATGATGGACAGGCTGTCTGGGAACGAACCAATCAACTGGCTCTTGGACTTTATCTTAAACTCATTAATTCCATATCAAGCAACATTGTATTTCAAAATTTCTGAATGACATAAAAAAGAAATCATTGACAAAATCATTATCCTGTATCATTGCCAATACCAGCAGGTTATGGGTAATTAATGTGACACAGCTGGTCACAGACAGGGTATATAATGTGACACAGCTGGTCACAGACAAAGTATATTAAGCGACACTGCTGGTCACAGACAGGGTATATAATGTTACACAGCTGGTCATAGACAGGGTATATAATGTTACACTGCAGGTCACAGACAGAGTATATAATGTGACACAGCTGGTCACAGACAGGGTATATAATGTTACACTGCAGGTCACAGACAGGGTATATAATGTTACACTGCAGGTCACAGACAGAGTATATAATGTGACACAGCTGGTCACATACAGGTTATATAATGTTACACAGCTGGTCACAGACAGGGTATATAATGTTACACTGCAGGTCATAGACAGGGTATATAATGTTACACTGCAGGTCACAGACAGGGTATATAATGTTACACAGCTGGTCATAGACAGGGTATATAATGTTACACTGCAGGTCACAGACAGGGTATATAATGTTACACAGCTGGTCACAGACAAAGTATATTAAGAGACAGCTGATCACAGACAGAGTATATAATGTTACACAGCTGGTCACAGACAGGGTATATAATGTTACACTGCAGGTCACAGACAGGGTATATAATGTTACACAGCTGGTCACAGACAGGGTATATAATGTTACACAGCTGGTCACAGACAGGGTATATAATGTTACACTGCAGGTCACAGACAGGGTATATAATGTTACACTGCAGGTCACAGACAGGGTATATAATGTTACACAGCTGGTCACAGACAGGGTATATAATGTTACACAGCTGGTTACAGACAGAGTATATAATGTTACACTGCAGGTCACAGACAGGGTATATAATGTTACACAGCTGGTCACAGACAGGGTATATAATGTTACACAGCTGGTCACAGACAGGGTATATAATGTTACACAGCTGGTCACAGACAGGGTATATAATGTTACACAGCTGGTCACAGACAGGGTATATAATGTTACACAGCTGGTCGCAGACAGGGTATATAATGTTACACAGCTGGTCACAGACAGGGTATATAATGTTACACAGCTGGTCACAGACAGAGTATATAATGTTACACAGCTGGTCGCAGACAGGGTATATAATGTTACACAGCTGGTCGCAGACAGGGTATATAATGTTACACTGCTGGTCACAGACAGGGTATATAATGTTACACAGCTGGTCACAGACAGATTATATAATGTGACACAGCTGGTCACAGACAGGGTATATAATGTTACACAGCTGGTCACAGACAGGGTATATAATGTTACACAGCTGGTCACAGACAGAGTATATAATGTTACACAGCTGGTCACAGACTGGGTATATAATGTTACACAGCTGGTCGCAGACAGGGTATATAATGTTACACTGCTGGTCACAGACAGGGTATATAATGTTACACAGCTGGTCACAGACAGATTATATAATGTGACACAGCTGGTCACAGACAGGGTATATAATGTTACACAGCTGGTCACAGACAGGGTATATAATGTTACACAGCTGGTCACAGACAGGATATATAACGTTACACAGCTGGTCACAGACTGGGTATATCATATTACACAGCTGGTCACAGACAGGGTATATAATGTTACACTTCAGGTCACAGACAGGGTATATAATGTGACACAGCTTGTCACAGACAGAGTATATAATGTTACACAGCTGGTCACAGACTGGGTATATAATGTTACACAGCTGGTCGCAGACAGGGTATATAATGTTACACTGCTGGTCAAAGGCAGGGTATATAATGTTACACAGCTGGTCGCAGACAGGGTATATAATGTTACACTGCTGGTCACAGACAGGGTATATAATGTGACACAGCTGGTCACAGACAGGGTATATAATGTGACACAGCTGGTCACAGGCAGGGTATCTAATGTTACACAGCTGGTCACAGACAGGGTATATAATGTGACACAGCTGCTCACAGACAGGGTATCTAATGTTACACAGCTGGTCACAGACAGGGTATATAATGTGACACTGCTGGTCACAGACAGGGTATATAATGTTACACAGCTGGTCAAAGGCAGGGTATATAATGTTATACTGCTGGTCAAAGGCAGGGTATATAATTAATGTTACACTGCTGGTCAAAGGCAGGGTATATAATGTTACACAGCTGGTCACAGACAGGGTATATAATGTTACACTGCTGGTCACAGACAGGGTATCTAATGTTACACAGCTGATCACAGACAGGGTATATAATGTTACACTGCTGGTCACAGACAGGGTATATAATGTTACACAGCTGGTCAAAGGCAGGGTATATAATGTTATACTGCTGGTCAAAGGCAGGGTATATACTGTTACACAGTTGGTCAAAGGCAGGGTATATAATGTTACACTGCTGGTCAAAGGCAGGGTATATAATGTTACACAGCTGGTCACAGACAGGGTATATAATGTTACACTGCTGGTCACAGACAGGGTATATAATGTTACACTGCTGGTCCCAGACAGGGTATATACTATTATACTGCTTGTCAAAGGCAGGATATTTGATAACCATTGCATGATATAAAACAACTGTGAAGATTTATTGATATCTGGAACAAATAAGGCTGCTGTCAATATCTTGAGAGAAAAATCTCACAAGTTTGTCAGCAGCATTGAAAACAAGCCATCAACAACATCTGCTTGAAGAAGCTTCTTGCTGAAATTTTAATCCATTGGTAACTATGGTCACTATATAATAAAGTGATCAATCAGGAGTGCTGTTTACTTATCACTGTGTGTGACATCATCTATTGATAGCTTGCTAGAGTTACTTACATGCTCAGCAAACAACAGGAGACCTCCAAATTCAGGGGCAATGTCATACATGAAACCTGTGTTGTCTGCAAACTCATCAATGGGCCCTTCATTACCAGTGTAGAATAGGATAGGTCCCTGTCCCTCTCTCCACCAGCGATCTATAAAAAAACATAAAACATTATGAATTATTGAACACCAGATATGTTCCTGTCACCACCAGTGATCTACAACAAAACACAAAACATCAAACACCAGATATGTTCCTGTCACCACCAGTGATCTACAACAAAACACAAAACATCAAACACCAGATATGTCCCTGTCACCACCAGCGATCTACAACCAAACACAAAAACATCAAACACCAGATATGTCCCTGTCACCACCAGCGATCTACAACCAAACACAAAAACATCAAACACCAGATATGTCCCTGTCATCATCAGCGATCTATAACCAGATACATATATCTACACACCAGATACATATATCTACACAACAGATACATATATACACACACCAGATACATGTATACACATACCAGATACATATATACACACAACAGATACCAGATACATATATACACACAACAGATACATATATACACACACCAGATACATATATACACACACCAGATACATATATACACACCAGGTACATGTGTAGAAGTTGAGAGTACAGGTCACCTTTGCCTTGGCTAGTGTGAATTTCCTTTAAGTCAATATTAGTAAAGTGTCAGGCTAGAGAAGCAAAGGTCACTAGTTTTGACCCCAGCAGTGGCAGGGTGTTTTTCATTACTCTTTCCTGTTACAGATTTGGTGATGTTGACCACTCCAAGCGAGTTGAAGTTATATAAAATTGAGATGCTTCCTTGAAGATGTTGAACATGGGTTGTTGTTGTCTTCAAGGTCAAAGACTTTGTAAAGGAGGGAGTAGTAAAGAAGTTGAGAATACAGTCACTTTAGTGGCTGTGGCAAGAGGTGATTTCCCTTTAGCCAAGCGGTAGATTGTGCAGTTAGAGACCGAAGGGTTCCTAGATCAAACGCCAACATATCACACATATAACAAAGTCAGGCGAGATACAACCCCAATAATAGTAATAAGCTTACAATACCATTATTTAAATCATTAAAAAGTCGATGTTGCTGTTCCTCTTTGATGATGTGGTCAGCTGCAGTGGTTACAAGGGAAATATCAGTGTGCACACTAAATTACTAAAGGCTGGCAGAATGCATACTAGAATCTTCTGAAATGTCAAACAGTCACAGAAAACATGAGCTTAAAGGTACAGGGATTGTCACTTACTTCTTGGAAGATTATGGCTTACAAAAGCTCTAGGTAAGGTGGAGAAATCTCTGTCAAAACATGTTTTTTCCAGCTTAGTTTCTGTATGAATACACAATGTGGGGCCCGTTTGAATGACGTCTTCCCAAATATAGAATTAACAAAATGTCAGAGTCATGCCAGAGGTCCTTACATAGGTACCAATGTAACAGAGAGGGATTTTGGGTGGGCCTTTGCGTATGGACAACTCATAAGGCAAGATTCTTCTGTGGATTTAATTGACCAATTTACAACTGAGGTTCCTACATTCTTGGATTGTGGTGAATAAGACAATGATAAAAAATAATTTCCAGTACAAAGAAGTAAAAACAAAACCGAAAAGCCACAAGTACATCCTTACAGGATGAAGTCTAAAGTAAATCTACCAAAACACACCAAAAGAAAATACAACCCCGTGTACTGTCTGTCACTGGTCAAACAAGTTTTAGTCACTCATGTGTCACATCAACCCACTCTCTGGACATTCAGGACAGCGCAACAATCACACTAGAAGTACTGTACACACATTAGGCCAATACATGCAAAATCACGACGTGGAATAAAAACACAAGAGCTAATAAAAATTAGTTATAACATACCATTTTAATTAATTAACAGGGTCCCATACACACACCAGACTCATGGATTATGTACAACATCCCTGAATGTCTATGACACTTAAAACCATCTAAGAGGAATGTTTTCTCATTACATATCTCTTAATACCAAAATCAATTGCATTGCTACCAAACATACTGTTTACCTTGTATCAAATAACGTTGTTTGTAAGTCTTCTCGCCATACGAAACAAAGTTGAAGTGATCGATGTACTGGTCGAAGAACTTTTCCTTGTAGTCTCCTTTATTGCTAAACGAATACTCGCACAAACACAACAAAACCAAAGCTATGGAACATGCCTTCATCGTCTGCTATTTCTTGGTTTCCTCCTCCCAAGTTCCTAGTTTTAGTTTCGTTTTAAACTCTAAAGCTTCCGTTCCGGAAATGCGTTATATCACATGCGCGCGACAATTCGAATGTGACATTAATTTTGAAAGAAGCCCTAAGTTTGTCAAATATTTAGCTCAGCAACTTACATACTTTCAACATGGACATAGACATATCTAAGTCTCAATTTCAAAGTTTCAATCAATTTACTAACTTTTATTTCTTGCATGAATCCATTTAACTAAATAGGGGTTCGACGCTCAACCGGGACAAATTAACAAAGTTTTTGAATGGAATCATGTGGGTTTTTTTTTTCTCAAATATACTTTTAAACGAAATAAATTCAGGTTTTCAATATTTATTTTTTTTATTCATTTTATTATTTATTTATATATTTTTATTTTACTTTATCTTAATATACTAGATAACACGGGATAACTACAAATGATTTAATTCACTTCAGCCTAGACACCAAATTGAGTTCCTTCATAGTTTCTTCAATGTGGTTATATACGTTTATTATAAACTGGTTTAATTTCTAAACATGGAATCTGTTTTTGGTAAAAAGTTTGTCAGTAAAAGAATATCTTAATGATAATATTTGACGAAAAGTAAACATAAGTACACCTTTGAACCATTAGGAATTAAAGATAGAATGTACCACTGGGCAGATTTTTATCTCCTACAAGAGTTCCTTGAATTTGATACTGACGGTTTAGATATTGGATTGTCAATCCTATGAATGTGCGATCAAAGTGGCAAAAAAATCATCAGTATTTGGACATTTTCAACGTAATTGTGATTCAAACTTGTGTTGCAATGAATTTGAGAAATTATGTTCATTTCGATTGTTTCCTTTGTTTTATATAAGTAGGCCTGGAACATAATGTTTGCTTTCATAAGACTGTGAATAATGTTTTTTTTGTGATTTGGAATGTAGTTTGCTTTAGATATCAAATGTAAACAAAGTTTTTTGAATTTATTTTAGGACAAGATTCATGATCATTGACAAAGTATACTCCAATGAAGGACTCCAAAGTTTGTTCTCCGAGTGTCAATCCAGTTTTAGAACACATATGTTAAATAACTGTTCAATGGGGAGTAAAAGAATAGTAACATCGAACCAATTTCCATTGGTCAGATATATTGCCATTCATAAACTTTATGTATTGTCTGATATATAGAAACACCCATTGTGATGAAATATGATGCTGATCTTCAGATCTCTGATAATGTAGAATGACATGTTTTACTATATTGATCCAGTAGAAATCCAATGTCTTGTATTTGTCTGCTTGGTTTATCAGCTCATGAACAGTTATGTTCATCCTGAATTGGGGTCTCGTTGAAGAAGCTTAAGGCTATCTCAGTGAATAACATACCAATGGACCGTCACATGCCATCCAGAGCAATGAGAATAAGTGTATTGCACAAGAGCACAACCATAAATGCCCCCCACCCCTCCTCCCGACCTCTCCACTTGTTTCATCATGCTGAAAGCATCAACAATCAACAATATTCCTTTGATAATGGTTCAATGCCAAGGCAGCAAACCTAATCAGATAACCATGGAGATTTATTTGGAAGCCTCTGTGGCAATAGGTATGAAAATATATCTCCTGTGTGAACAACATCAGTCTGGGAACATTACAGGTCCTTAGTAAGACAGCAGAGCACATCTTTGTTTTAATTCTTTGCATATTTTTTCCTGTTGTTTGTATTAAGCTAGTCACTTTCAATAATTTTTCTTCTCCTTATTAATATTTTCCCAAAATAAATCAGATTTCTAGAAGTAAAATGGCTGCTTATGATTGCCCGGACTGTAAAATACCACAGATACGCTTCAGGTTAGTCATTGTGCTGTCTATCTGTACCAATTCAAATTCAAAACATAAGACAATATCAAAATTTTATTTGGAAAGTTTATTTGATAATGGCTTTACAAGACTGCATAGTGAGCATTGCTAAATTGGGACCATAATAGGTTCACAACATACAAAACTGTTCTGAATTTGATTTACAGCAGAAAAACTCGGACAATTGTTAAGGATTATACTAAGGGAGATAATGCAGATTGGCATGGCAACATGTTTTTAGGCCTGTCACATGTAAGCTGTAACAAGCATAATAAAAGTTCCAGCAATTTATATATTTTTTCTTAGTTTGTACAGAAATATAGTAATAGTATGTTATACATTTTAATGTGGTGTGTACAAGTATACAAGTTTGTAACAAGTTAAACATTACATGGTACATGTTATATATAACAAATTATACAATATATAATAAGTTATACATTGAACAGTACACATATTAATGGTATTCTGTGTACGTCCTTATATATAACAAGTTATTTAATAAGTGGTACTCTGTGTACGTCCTTATATATAACAAGTTATTCAATAAGTGGTACTCTGTGTACGTCCTTATATATAACAAGTTATTCAATAAGTGGTACTCTTTGTACGTCCTTATATATAACAAGTTATTCAATAAGTGGTACTCTTTGTATGTCCTTATATATAACAAGTTATTTAATAAGTGGTACTCTTTGTACGTCCTTATATATAACAAGTTATTTAATAAGTGGTACTCTGTGTACGTCCTTATATATAACAAGTTATTTAATAAGTGGTACTCTGTGTACGTCCTTATATATAACAAGTTATTTAATAAGTGGTACTCTGTGTACGTCCTTATATATAACAAGTTATTTAATAAGTGGTACATCATGTACATATTTATATTTAACAAGTTATACATTAAATGGTACACTGTGTACATACTTATATATAATGAGTTATAAATTAGATGGTACACAGCGACATATAACGAGTTATCCATTAATTGGTACACTGTGTGTATATAACATGTCATTAATGAATTGTAGTGTGTACACTCACATTATATCATAAAAGTCACACACATTTTAGTGGTGTGTATACACCTACTATTTATACATATAAAGTAGAGTGTACACACACAAGTTCAAACATATTACACATACACATTTCAACATGCACCATCATACAGCTAGTTTAGGAGTACACAAACTGTACAGCAATACTGTTAAATAGTGCACAACTAAGTATGTCTTAAACATATGAGTGTGTATATATAACATACAACAGTATATCAAGACTGACCTAACATACAAAGGTGTATATAAATAAATGATATGTTTTATCCTGTTCTTCAAGGAAAAGGTGTATACAGCAAATGTTGCCATTATCAAAGAAATATTGCTTCAGTACCAAATTTTATTCAAAATCAAATCAATTCAGATAAGTAAAAACTATAAAACTTGATCCTACAACTGTATTTGTGTCGATTGTTGGTCCAAATCAAGTGTGATTCGAATCAACTTTATGATTTTCTATTAAAAAAAAAAAAAAAAAAGAGTCCGGTTCGAATTCAATTAAACTGAAGATGCATCTCAGCCAGCTGACTCCATTTATAGCTAAAACATTTGGCACAAATAAAATGTCAAAAAAGCTGTTTGAAAATTCTTAATTTTTCTTTTACAAACATCTATGAAAAAGAAACAGAAAACTACAAGAAATTGTTCTGATAAATATGAATCACTGACAAACCATATGAACAACAATTTGTTCTTCACTTTAAACATCCATTATGCATATCAAGGTAAAATTTACAAAAATCACTTAGAATGTCAAGTAAAAATTCCAGACAAGTAAAATATTTTCTTTTCTATCACGACGATTGTAGCAGGTGATGTTTAGCTAAAATTGTTTATGTACATAAGACAGGTAACAATTGTATATGTGTATCTGTACAGGATAATATATGTGTACACTGGATACTGATGTCAGGACGATACAGTCTACAGATGCCCTATACATTTATCTGACTGCGAGAGCTTTACCCTCTATAGTTACAACTACAGCAGCTGTGGTTAGAGGGCTGTAGCCGTGTCCTCAGGACACAAAGTATAAATTACGACATCACCCCTCATTTACACTGAACAAAACAATAACCCACGACATTCTAATGATAAAATACAACTGTTCAGGATAAAAATTCTACATAAAATATCACACATCATAATTCTGATACAAAATTCTAAATTTAATGTAAAGTTAAATATATAAAATAACTGGACAAGTTTCTTTGGTACAATTTGAATAAAAAGCATGACTTTTGATATCACTACAAAGAGTGTCTTAAGAGAACAGAGCATGACGTCTAGGTATGTCCGTATAAAGTGTTGTATACAGTAGCATCAACACGGTCAGTATCTCAACACAGTCAAACCAGTACAAATAATACAAACTGTATACACGTTTTATATAGCACCATATGAAATACTAGGACAACAGAACTACAAAATAAACAGTGGAGTTTACACAGAACAAGCAGTCGGGTAAAGTTTTCAATGTTTCACAGCACATGGCCGTTGTTGGTCGGACACCAATAAGTTTCTATAATTAAAAGGAGAATCCATCACTTCAGCTAGTATCAAATAGCATTCTTTATTAAGTAGAATCTCCACCAATCTGTACAATTTCTGTCTATATTTAGCAGGGGGATCCCTAATGATCTATCAATCAATTTTGGTCTTGTAGCATTTATGTCTAAATCATTTGTAGTAGAATTCTAATTCTCACCAAATATTTTGTAGTATTACCATTAAAAAAAGAAACAAAATCCTTTCCTCCCTCAATTGAATGGAACTTTCAACAATGAAGTGTGAATTTCCAGTCTGAAGGTTTCACAGGATAATTGTAAATGCAGTAAATAAAAGTAATATCAAGGAGGTTTCACACAGCCAACGAATGTATCGCTAACAACCTACAGTAACACTAAGAAACACAACCCTACCATAACAAATACCAAGAAAGTGAAAGTAACATGACAACCCCTTTGACTAACAGAAATTACAGATTAGGTATACCATATGTCATGTCACACTCTAAATAAGGTCCTCAAATCTTCAATATCTTCACTCTCCTGATTAACAAACATATTGATTTAGAAATTTATATATACAAAATTTTCATAAAATATCATAAAATGGATTTCCATATAATTTACCAAGCTTAAATATCATTACAGAAGTCATCTAGAGATTCAACTGCTATTGAAAGTCATAGAAGTCTTAGTTGTGTTTATGATGACATCACACATTAGAAAGGACACATGAATCTTGTGCGAGTTTGGCATTGTCACCAACACTTACAATGCCATCACTCTTACACACCAGCACCACACATTACAGACATCGTGTTACACTGGATCAGAACATATCTTGTAAAGATATATTAATGGCCATAAATAAAGGACTTAACAGAGAAAACGCCACTGACAAAGACTTATTACCTCATATGATGAAAGACTCACAAGGACATCAGCTCTCAAGCGAACCATTTCTATAACCGTCCTTGCTCGAGTATTTGTTCGTACCCTTTACCTGCTGTGGTTAATATTGATGACCTAACGTAGATTTAACGACGGGAAAAACTGTTCTAGGACAATGTCCTTCCTCAGTCAATATGTTCATCTTTGACAAAAGTGGAGATTTCCTTGAGCCAAAGACAATGTTTCCTTAAGCTGAGGATGATATTTTCTGGAACAGAGGATGTTTCCTGGTTTCAAGTTTCAAGCTGAAAGATAACTGTGCAGTCTGTAAATATCACCGGATTGTCTAAATGGAGGAGGTTCCCATGACTAAAGAATCGTGGTCCATCAATACTAACCACAATCTGTCTGATCTAATCTTTATCATACATTTCACATATGACCTATCAGCCATGGACTTATTTTCTTATGTCTGACCTCTGACCCATGAATATAATATCTGTTGTAATTACTGGCCAGGTGGAGACTCAATGTCAATATTTTTGAAGCAGCCATCTGGCAAGGAAAGCTTGATTTGTTCTATATTGTCCACATCCTCCTTAAGCATGTTGTAATCATTCTCGTGCTCAGCTACCAGACGTTTGATTTCATCATTGGCTTTCTCTAGTTTCATGTATTGATTATCAAGATCTGCATCAATCAATTCCTGCTCTGCATTGTCTAGTGCAGTCTGAAGGGCATTAAGTTTGGCGATGTCAACATCATCAAGTTGTCCTGTAACCCAAGAAATGTCAACTGATCAATCAAGTGAGTTGTGCTAACATTATTTCAATCCCCAGTAATCTGGAGCTGTAGAATGATCAACTTGTTACTCAAACATCTCTTTTACTATTTGGGAATGCCCAACACATTATTTATCACGTCAGAAAAATTTCTACACAAACCAAAATTGAGAATTCAAAAAGTTCAAACCAATTGTCTTACCAAGGAGACGAGAAATGTTCTGTACAGTGCCCAGTGCAGCGATCACCTGTTCCGACACATTCTTTGCATCATTCTTAGCTTGAGCTGCCTTTTGGAGTGCCTAAAACAATAAAGATGACACTGTGTTAACCAATTGACTGTAGTCTCATCATTACATCGTCAATCTTTATTTAGTAGCATACAGATAAATCAGGAATAGAGGAATGTGCTTGACATTTTTTCTTTTAAAGTTAAAAATCTAATTAAGTCAATTGAATGGTTAGATAGTGCCATTCATAATACACACTCCTTGACCCAAAATGATCACCTCTCCTTGCCCCAAGATGATAACATGGTCAGAAAACATATCAGGTCAATTACCTTACCACTTTGGTTCTCTCTGGGAACTCCCATATCATGACCTACCTCTTACTCTCATGAGTTTCCCACTGAGCCAACATTCACAAGGGTTGTAGGTTAAACATTTCAACTTTAATCACTTAACAAATATATTCCAATCAACTCACCACTGCCATTTTAACTCTCCTTCATCTCTGATGAATTTCTATTTTAGTGTCCCTGACCTTCACCTTTTGTAACTAATGAGTTCAAATGTTAGAACCCTGACCTTGACCTACCTCATCTATAAGTCTAGAATCCTCATCAGCTTGACCCTCCAGACTGGTAAGTTTAACATCAGTACTGTTTACTTGTCCAGCCAGACGATCTGCCTCGTCCTTGAGATTCATAGCACGGTCCTTTGTCACATCTGCCTCTTCACGGATCCTGCTGGCAGCCTGCACATAACCATTTATTGTAGTTATCAAATATAAAACAACAGTAAAAACTGAGAGAAAACAAGCAAATTTTTGGACTTCATATCCCCCGCTTTCCAAACATATTGTAAGTAAATATATTAGAGGTTATTATACTTAGGAAAGTTAGAGCACAAATAGATATTAACAGATGATGTTGATTCCTGAACTCAGTCTTATGTGCCCTAATATGCATCTGCTGACCAAGTTTCATCTAAATCGGATTATATCTAGGGAAGTAAGAGCACGGAAATGAACCGATCAATGAAATCAAAGGATACCTCATTATGTATGCATAATTATTAACAGATAACACTGATAGTCAAACTCAGTCTTAATGACCCCAAGATGCATCTGCTGACAAAGTTTCATTGAAAATTGGATGATATTTGGGGAAGTTGGAACATGGAAACGAAAGTGTGACAGACGGATGGACGAACCCAAATTAATATCCCCCGTTTCGGTGAAAGCGGGGAATAAAAATGTTAATGACTACCAGTTGTTGGAATACCTCGACAATTATCACGGTTATGACTCATCATGAGAGGACATACAGCTTTGACAGCTTACTTACCTCTGAGGCATTCTGTGCTGTATCCTGAGCCTGTCGAGCCAGCGACAATGCCATGTTGGCATCATTCTCGGCTCCAGTTAAGGCATCACTTGCCTCCTTAGTCTTATTCTCTGCCTCCTCAATTACTTCTTGTATCTTTGGGATTTTCTGAAGGGCTGCATCTGCCTCACCTTTGCTGTTCTGTACCTCTTTGTCAAAGGCTGGGAACAGAAAAAAATCAATGAATCAGTATAAGTGAAAACACAGTACAGACCCCCGTCAGAGACTGGGTGCAGAAATAACCCCTAAATGTGTATCAGTGAATACACAGTACAGACCCCCGTCAGAGACTGGGTGCAGAAATAACCCCTAAATGTGTATCAGTGAATACACAGTACAGACCCCCGTCAGAAATAACCCCTAAATGTGTATCAGTGAATACACAAGTACAGACCCCTGTCAGAAATAACCCCTAAATGTGTATCAGTGAATACACAGTACAGACCCCCGTCAGAGACTGGGTGCAGAAATAACCCCTAAATGTGTATCAGTGAATACACAGTACAGACCCCCGTCAGAGACTGGGTGCAGAAATAACCCCTAAATGTGTATCAGTGAATACACAAGTACAGACCCCTGTCAGAGACTGGGGACAGATATAACCCCTAAATGTGTATCAGTGAATACACAGTACAGACCCCCGTCAGAGACTGGGTGCAGAAATAACCCCTAAATGTGTATCAGTGAATACACAAGTACAGACCCCTGTCAGAGACTGGGTGCAGAGACTGGGGACAGATATAACCCCTAAATGTGTATCAGTGAATACACAGTAACCCCTAGAGTGAATACACAGTACATACCCAGTAGACAGACCCCGAGACTGGGTGCAGAAATAACCCCTAAATGTGTATCAGTGAATACACAAGTACAGACCCCTGTCAGAGACTGGGGACAGATATAACCCCTAAATGTGTATCAGTGAATACACAGTACAGACCCCTGTTACAGACTGGGGACAGATATAACCCCTAAATGTGTATCAGTGAATACACAGTACAGACCCCTGTTACAGATTGGGGGCAGAAATAACCCCTAAATGTGTATCAGTGAATACACAGTACAGACCCCCTTCAGAGACTTGGTGCAGAAATAACCCCTAAATGTGTATCAGTGAATACACAGTACAGACCCCTGTCAGAGACTGGGGACAGATATAACCCCTAAATGTGTATCAGTGAATACACAAGTACAGACCCCTGTCAGAGACTGGGGACAGATATAACCCCTAAATGTGTATCAGTGAATACACAGTACAGACCCCTGTTACAGACTGGGGACAGATATAACCCCTAAATGTGTATCAGTGAATACACAATACAGACCCCCGTCTGAGACTTGGTGCAGAAATAACCCCTAAATGTGTATCAGTGAATACACAAGTACAGACCCCTGTCAGAGACTGGGGGCAGAAATAACCCCTAAATGTGTATCAGTGAATACACAGTAAAGACTCCTGTTACAGACTGGGGACAGATATAATCCCTAAATGTGTATCAGTGAATTCACAGTACAGACCCCTGTTACAGACTGGGGACAGATAAAACCCCTAAATGTGTATCAGTGAATACACAGTACAGACCCCTGTTACAGACTGGGGACAGATATAACCCCTAAATGTGTATCAGTGAATACACAAGTACAGGACCATGTAAAAAGAGATTGTGGGCAGAAATAATCGCTTAATCTGTGTATGGAAGACTTACCCAGTAGTGTCTGTAAAGTGTTGCTAGCCTCTTGGAGTGTCTTTTCTGCCTTGTTCACAGCCTCCCTCGCCATGGCTCGAGCAGCATCCACCTCTGCCAACAGCTCATCAATTCTCTGTAACACACACATGTATGTCATTCTTTTAATAAGTACAGTATCACCTGTTCATACCAGTCCCTGTGTAATAAATACGTAATTAAGAATAAATGTATTGCAGCTTTGTACCCTTTCTTTGTGTGTGTTACAGATATTTCAATATAAACAATAAGTATATACAGAACATGTTGATAATAAGTCCCTATAAACTGACTACTTGTATAAACTGGCCAAACACTTTGGACACAGTGACATCCCGCTTTTACAGGTTGTGCTGTACATAATCCTGTATGGATATGACCCATTTGTTATGATCACAAGACACAATAAATCGGTCCACCCTTTCACAACAAATTTGGACCTTGAATCTAGTTTTATAAAGATCCTTGTCAATGTGTAGTTATTGATGCAGTGTTTGTAACGTTTCCAAATCATTTGTTTATATTCTTTTAACTAGTAAAGTGAAATATCATTAGTGAGGTTAAAACCCCTAAATTGTACAGATTTTCTCATTACGATCAAAAGTGGGCTTCACCTTTGACCTCTGACTGAAAAATCAACAGGCTTCATCTCTAATTTAAGATAACAAGTAAACTAAATTTGACAATCTTCAATGGCATGGATTTCTCTAAATCAGGTTGAAATTCTAACCAGAGCAATTAGAGTAACAAAAAATCATGGTGTTGCAAGTATATATTACTGTAATACAATGTCACTCACATGTTGTTTACCCATCACACTGCTGAGGAGGGAATTAGCTTCACCTTTCTGGCTGTCCACATCATCAAGGAGCTGTTTGTTTTGTTGGATAAGACGTTCAGCTTCATCCTTGATGTCATTGGCCTGCAATATAAACATAACATTATACCTGAATCATGACTGTATAATCTATAATGATAGGGCTGGTGCCTAGAAAAATCAGAAAGTTTCTTGCCTATAACCCACCACTGTCTTTACCTGTTTATTTTTACTGATGTCCCACCTATACCTTTATCGGTCATTTTGCCTATAACCCACCTCTGTATTTACCTGTTTATTTTAAATGATGTCCCACCTATACCTTTATCGGTCATGTTGCCTATAACCCACCTCTGTATTTACCTGTTTATTTTAAATGATGTCCCACCTATACCTTTATCAGTCATGTTGCCTATAACCAACCTCTGTCTTGCCTATGAGTTGCCTATGACTCACATTTGTTTTTTGATCTGGTAAGTGTTATCCATAACCCATTGTATTTCATCTGTGAGGTGTTGCCTATGACTAATCTCTGCCTTTAAGTGGTGTTGCCTATGACTAATCTCTGCCTTTAAGTGGTGTTGCCTATGATGCACCTATACCTTTACCTGTGTGGTGTTGATTATGACCCACTTTTGTCTCTATCTGTGCAAGTGTTACTGATGACCCACCTCCACCTTCATCTTTTCTGTGCTACCTACGACCTATATCTGCCTTTATCTTTTTTTTGATTCCTATGACTCACCTCTGCCTTTATCTGTGTGGTGTTTCCTATGAGAGTTGGTACATCTATGTTGGGGAGTTTGATCTTTGTAGCATCAGCATACAGTTTCAGAGCTTCATCATAGGCTTCTTCGGCACGTTCCTTTACATTGTCTGCGAACAACTTTGTCCTGTTATATAGGCGGTCTGTCTCCTCAAATCTACAACCAAAATATCATAATCTAATATTCAAAAAGTTTAAGAATTTCTCTATTTGTTAATTTGATTAAGCAAAGTGAGTGTGTTCTGTCTATGTTCAAAATAAAATGCTCCCTAATATACTAAAATTAACACCATCATAATTTCCTGGATTCTGAGTTAATCCCTAGGAAAAAGAGATCATATTTCTAATTAAATCCCCTGACACTAGAGGCTACATAATTGTGATATGATCCGAAGAACCAACAGGATGACCTGAAAGACATCAGGATTCTCAGATAATCTCCAGAAACTAGAGGATGTACATATGGACACCAGAGTTCTGAGATCATCTTCAGAAACTAGAGGGAGGTCAGACAGACACCAGGATTCGAAGATTATCCCAACAAATAAAAGGCTACACAGATGGACACTGATCCTCAGATACTAGAAGGATAGACAAACACCTTAATCACTTTAAGACATATCTCTGATGTGGGAAACTAATATAGCAAATAATTTCCTGAAACAATCAATAAAAAATATATCTCACTGCTGAGCAAGGCGTTGAATGTCATCTTTTGTCTGATCTGGCTTCCTCAGGATTTCCTCAGCCATATTACGTGCATCAAGGGACATGTTGAGAGCCATGTTGGCAATACCTTCAATCCTTTCTGCTTCCTCCTTTTGTCTGAAATATTTCATCAACAAATACATTAATGAATTACCATTTACAGGAACAACATAAAACAGTACTATATTGTTATACATACAAAATACATTAATGAATTACCATTTACAGGAACAACATAACACTGTACTTTATATTGTTATACATACAAAATACATTAATGAATTACCATTTACAGGAACAACATAAAACAGTACTATATTGTTATACATACAAAATACATTAATGAATTACCATTTACAGGAACAACATAAAACAGTACTATATTGTTATACATACAAAATACATTAATGAATTACCATTTACAGGAACAACATAAAACAGTACTATATTGTTATACATACAAAATACATTAATGAATTACCATTTAACAAGAACTAGCGAGTGAAGTAAATGTACCACCTATGATGGAAGTAAAACTTGAAGCAAGATTCAAACAAGCAGGCCACAAAAAATTATGCTCAAAATGTTGAAGAAACTTGAATGGATTTTTAAACAATTTAAATCCATGACATATGTATTAAACATACTGAGGATCAATTAATAAATGATCAGTGTCTTTAAACTTAACTGGCTGAGAATTTGACCTCGCACCATCTAAAACATTCTTTCTTTTAAGCTTTAGAACTTACTTCATAGACTCATTGCGAGCTTTGTTGGCGACTTCTGTCATCTGAGCAGACTGCTGGCCGAACTGATTGAGGGCATTCTGTGCTTGCTGAAGTGCCTTGCGACCCTCCATGTCGATGTAGGTTTCAGCAGCCTGTAAGGTTTGTTCTGCACGCCTGATTGCATCCTGTGCTTGTTGCACATCCTGCTGACTGTCACGGGATGACTGCTCAGCAGAGTTGATATTGGATGTGATAGTTCCAGCACTCACCAGGACATCTCGGACAGCCATTTTCAGGTCAGACAACTGTTGCCCTAAAGTTCCATTGTCACCTAGGAAACACAAAGAACACTTCACTACAACATTTCTATACAACACAATACTTTAACATACAACAACAAACAAACAACAAAAGAATTGATTAATACTGTTATTACTAATGTTGTGGGACATTTATTTACAAATAAATCATTATCTATTCATCAATAATATTCACCAATAAATTAATGCCAAAATGTGAACAAATAGTAAATTAAAAATTCCAGTGCACAAAAGAAAGTCATACTCGCTGGAGAGCAATGTCAAAATTAATCCCTTTTGTTTTTCTGGAGAACATTAAGAAAATATTTGCAATGAAATTAACACTGCTAACTTGGCTTCAACTTTAAAAATATTACACTGAAAATAAGTAAACAAATGCTACATCATGAATACTCTGAACAGAATTACTGACAATTCTCTGTTATCTGTATCCATCACAATTACCCCTCCCTAGGCCCAATATGCAGATTTTTTTCTCCAGTATATATTTCTGTACACTTACTGACTGCTCCCCTGGCTTCATCCAGCAGCATGATGACTGAGTCGTTAACCTGATTCATGTAGGTAAGGAATTCGGTATCATTAAAAGCACTGGGGTTGTTTCCAATGTTGAGGATGAGGTTGTTAAGATCGGAGAGTTTATCACGGTGAGCGTTGACGCGATCTTGTACCAAGGTGTAACAGGCAGGGCAATCTGACATCCAACAGAGAAATATACAGTGAACAGTGTGTAAACAGACAGGCCAATCAGACAAGATACAGATACACAACGGAAGGGAGAACCAACAATCAAATCATCTGATATTGTGTTAAACATTGTGTGTGGATACCTCCAGTTATTCACTGGGAATCCTTACAATACCATTAACATATGTAAGAAAGAGAAATCATGACATCATAAACTAGTGATGGGACGATGATTTAATATAATCCCATTATCTAATCATTTAATTTCATACAGTGAATGAATCATCAGTACTTCCAATATTTGCTTGTGTTTCAACATAAAGATACAAAGTGTTGATAATTTTCATTCTTATACATATTCTGGCCAAGTGAAATATCTTAGACTAAAAGTTACAAAAAAAATTATTGCAACAGAGAATGCATTCACTTTCTATGAACTGTGAACAGCTCATGATGTAATCAATAAACTACAATGAGAATCAACCATAATAGGTGATGGATTTTAGCCAATTTCCAATCACATCAAATACTACTTCTTGTTTTATCTATATGTATGGTTGATATGTTTCAACTACTTTACCAACTGTCATAAGGGCCAGTTTGACACCTTATCAGTCAAAACATGTACCAGCAATATACAAAACAACAGTTCACTTGATATGCTTACCAGAAAACAAGTGATACAGGATCAATATATCATTACAAACTTCTGTTCAGTAGGCTCAATATAAAACAGAATAAAAGAACCATGTGAAGAACAGAGTTATGTCCCTTACCTAAGCAGCCAGCAGTAAGGTTGTACTTATTCTCCATACAGCGGTCACAGTGCTTGCCCTCAATGTTAGTCTGACAGACACAATTCCCTAGATTATCACATTGCAGGTTGATGGAACCCTCTGGATCACAGTTACAGGCTGCAATTCATATAACAAATCAAAATACAGGTAGTGAACAAAATCATACACAGGTCACGTTTAAAAAAATGTGAAGATTTACAGATAACAGCACATAGTAAAGTATTGACCAGAGTATCTAAGTTCAGATGCCAAAGTTATAAACAACTCCAGAGTATGGGTTTTCTTCACCAACCACTGTACTTAGATAACGAGAATCAGAGCATCTATAGTAGAAATTTAAATAAATTGCCTGTACAGCAAGAATCAGAGAAGCTTTTGTAGAATTTTCAATACATTGTCTGTAAATATAGACAATGAAGTCATTGAAGAATTTTTTACACATTACCTGCACAGCCAGAATCAGAGAAGTCATAGAAGAATTTTTCAAATCATTACCTGTACAGCCAGAATCAGAGAAGCCATTGTAGACTTTTTTATACATTACCTGTTCAGCCAGAATCAGAAAAGCCATTGTAGAATTTTTGATACATAAGCTGTACAGCCAGAATCAGAGAAGCCATTGTAGACTTTTTTATACATTAGCTGTACTACCAGAATCAGAGAAGCCATTGTAAATTTTTTATACATTAGCTGTACAGCCAGAATCAGAGAAGCCATTGTAGAATTTTTAAAATCATTACCTGTACAGCCAGAAACAGAGAAGCCATAGAAGATTTTTTTATACATTAGCTGTACAACCAGAATCAGAGAAGCCATAGAAGATTTTTTTTATACATTAGCTGTACAGACAGAATCAGAGAAGCCATAGAAGATTTTTTTTATACATTAGCTGTACAGACAGAATCAGAGAAGCCATAGAAGATTTTTTTTATACATTAGCTGTACAACCAGAATCAGAGAAGCCATAGAAGATTTTTTTTATACATTAGCTGTACAACCAGAATCAGAGAAGCCATAGAAGATTTTTTTTATACATTAGCTGTACAACCAGAATCAGAGAAGCCATAGAAGATTTTTTTTATACATTAGCTGTACAACCAGAATCAGAGAAGCCATAGAAGATTTTTTTTTATACATTAGCTGTACAACCAGAATCAGAGAAGCCATAGAAGATTTTTTTATACATTAGCTGTACAACCAGAATCAGAGAAGCCATAGAAGATTTTTTTATACATTAGCTGTACAACCAGAATCAGAGAAGCCATAGAAGATTTTTTTTATACATTAGCTGTACAACCAGAATCAGAGAAGCCATAGAAGATTTTTTTTATACATTAGCTGTACAACCAGAATCAGAGAAGCCATAGAAGATTTTTTTTATACATTAGCTGTACAGACAGAATCAGAGAAGCCATAGAAGATTTTTTTTATACATTAGCTGTACAGACAGAATCAGAGAAGCCATAGAAGATTTTTTTATACATTAGCTGTACAACCAGAATCAGAGAAGCCATAGAAGATTTTTTTATACATTAGCTGTACAACCAGAATCAGAGAAGCCATTATAGAATTTTTTATACATTAGCTGTACAACCAGAATCAGAGAAGCCATTGTAGAATTTTTTATACATTAGCTGTACAGCCAGAATCAGAGAAGCCATTTTAGAATTTTTAAAATCACTACCTGTACAGCCAGAATCAGAGAAGCCATAGAAGATTTTTTTATACATTAGCTGTACAACCAGAATCAGAGAAGCCATAGAAGATTTTTTTTATACATTAGCTGTACAGCCAGAATCAGAGAAGCCATTTTAGAATTTTTAAAATCACTACCTGTACAGCCAGAATCAGAGAAGCCATAGAAGATTTTTTTTATACATTAGCTGTACAACCAGAATCAGAGAAGCCATTGTAGAATTTTTTATACATTAGCTGTACAGACAGAATCAGAGAAGCCATTTTAGAATTTTTAAAATAACTACCTGTACAGCCAGAATCAGAGAAGCCATAGAAGATTTTTTTATACATTAGCTGTACAGACAGAAACAGAGAAGCCATAGAAGATTTTTTTTATTTATACATTAGCTGTACAGACAGAATCAGAGAAGCCATAGAAGATTTTTTTTATACATTAGCTGTACAACCAGAATCAGAGAAGCCATAGAAGATTTTTTTTATACATTAGCTGTACAGACAGAATCAGAGAAGCCATTGTAGACTTTTTTATACATTAGCTGTACTACCAGAATCAGAGAAGCCATTGTAAATTTTTTATACATTAGCTGTACAGCCAGAATCAGAGAAGCCATTGTAGAATTTTTAAAATCATTACCTGTACAGCCAGAAACAGAGAAGCCATAGAAGATTTTTTTTATACATTAGCTGTACAACCAGAATCAGAGAAGCCATAGAAGATTTTTTTTATACATTAGCTGTACAACCAGAATCAGAGAAGCCATAGAAGATTTTTTTTATACATTAGCTGTACAGACAGAATCAGAGAAGCCATAGAAGATTTTTTTATACATTAGCTGTACAGACAGAATCAGAGAAGCCATTTTAGAATTTTTAAAATAACTACCTGTACAGCCAGAATCAGAGAAGCCATAGAAGATTTTTTTTATACATTAGCTGTACAGACAGAATCAGAGAAGCCATAGAAGATTTTTTTTATACATTAGCTGTACAGACAGAATCAGAGAAGCCATAGAAGATTTTTTTTATACATTAGCTGTACAGACAGAATCAGAGAAGCCATAGAAGATTTTTTTTATACATTAGCTGTACAGACAGAATCAGAGAAGCCATAGAAGATTTTTTTATACATTAGCTGTACAGACAGAATCAGAGAAGCCATTTTAGAATTTTTAAAATAACTACCTGTACAGCCAGAATCAGAGAAGCCATAGAAGATTTTTTTTATACATTAGCTGTACAGACAGAATCAGAGAAGCCATAGAAGATTTTTTTTATACATTAGCTGTACAGACAGAATCAGAGAAGCCATAGAAGATTTTTTTTATACATTAGCTGTACAGACAGAATCAGAGAAGCCATAGAAGATTTTTTTTATACATTAGCTGTACAGACAGAATCAGAGAAGCCATAGAAGATTTTTTTTATACATTAGCTGTACAGACTGAATCAGAGAAGCCATAGAAGATTTTTTTTATACATTAGCTGTACAACCAGAATCAGAGAAGCCATAGAAGATTTTTTTTATACATTACCTGTACAGCCAGAATCAGAGAAGCCATAGAAGATTTTTTTTATACATTACCTGTACAGCCAGAATCAGAGAAGCCATTGTAAAATGTTCCACGCATTACCTGTAAAGCAATAATCTGAAAAGCCGTAACAGAATTCTTTAAAACATTACCTGTACATCCAGAATCAGAGAAGCCATAGAAGAATGGTTTACACTGGTCACAACGACGTCCAGTCACTCCAGGCTTACACTGACACTGTCCTCCGCCTACTTCACATGAACTGTTGAGGGATCCCATTGGCAGACAGTCGCAGGACTCGCACCCTATTGTACAACACATTATTTAAGATGTAAATATCACCTCGCACTCTGTGTAATGGATTCTATGACTAGATTAAAGTAAACATACAGAACAGAATACTGATTATTAATGACAATTATACACAATACAAATACAGAATAGAAATGTTAAGTTTACCACTGGGTTTAGAGGTAAACATAAATGTTATTTTCACAAGGTACTAAACAATGAATGTATATAGCATGAACTGAACTTATAAATAAGAAGGTCCAATTAATGAGTCCGGTGAGAAAGCTTTAGGTAAACCCACCAATGGAAGAAATCAGTTATTGAAAGGTCAGTGCTACTATACATATATCCAGTGATTACATATGGAACACCTACCTGCTCCACTGTCCAAGTTCCAGAAGCCTGCCTCACAGGTGTCACACTTTCGCCCTACGACATGGGGAAGACATGGGCACTGTCCGTTGGTGGGGTCACACAATAGCCCTCCAGTGTTCAGAGTGCCTGGTGGGTAACAGTTGCAGGCTGAAAAATAAAAAAATATTCTTGTACAATTTTCACGTTTACAAGAAAATTTACCACTTTCTGCAAATCCATAATATATTGCTTTGATTATTTTTTGATGAGTTGAACATTCTATTATTTATGTATATGTTAACTATCTTATACAAAATCTTTATCAAAAATTTCTTTTTTTTAACATCAGTAGTAATCATGGATTTAGCCAATAAGAGTTATTCCCTAGCTTTCTTGACCAATCAAAAACAACTCTTGAAGTTATACTGTCTTACCTTGACAATCGCCCTTTTCTTCAGCAAGAGCATTCCCATAATAACTAGGCAGACACTTTTCACAGCTAAAGCCAGCAGTGTTATAGATACACTTCAGACATTCACCAGACGTCCTGTAACATAAACACATGGTATATAAGCATCACACTAACATCTGTCTTCCAGTGTTTTTTTCAAATACTGCAATGAAAATTATCTCCACTAAATACAAGGTACTAAAGTTTTTTAAAGTTTACTCAAAGCAAAACGAAAACTTGAATGTAAGAGAAATGTTTCCTTAAATGAAGGACATAACTGTGTTTGCTGAATTTGTACAATAAAACAGGTCTATTAAACATTACATATACCTACCAAAGCATTGTGCTATGCTACCTATCAGTTGCAAACAGCATTGTGTTATGTTATCTGTAGTTGCCCACATTGTATTATATTATCTGTCACAGTCGCTAAAAGGATTAAGTATAATTTATTTTTGACAGTGTTTCACAACAATGTATCAGTCTCCTAAGCATTGTATCATATTATCTGTCACTGTTGCCCACAACATCATATTATATCATCTGTCACAGTCGCCCACAGCAGTATATTATATCATCTGTCACAGTCACCCACAACAGTATATTTATATTATCTGTCACAGTTGCTCAAAGATTTAGTATAATTTACTTATCACAGTGTTTCACAGCATTGTATTATATTACCTGTCAGTCCCCACAGCATTGTGTTATATTATCTGTCAGTCCCCACAGCAATGTATCATATTATCTGTCAGTCCCCACAGCATTGTGTTATATTATCTGTCAGTCATCACAGCATTGTATTATATTATCTGTCAGTGTTGCCCACAGCATTGTATTATATTATCTGTCAGTCCCCACAGCATTGTGTTATATTATCTGTCAGTCCCCACAGCATTGTATTATATTACCTGTCAGTCCCCACAGCATTGTATTATATTACCTGTCAGTCCCCACAGCATTGTATTATATTATCTGTCAGTCCCCACAGCATTGTGTTATATTATCTGTCAGTCCCCACAGCATTGTGTTATATTATCTGTCAGTCCCCACAGCATTGTATTATATTATCTGTCAGTCCCCACAGCATTGTATTATATTACCTGTCAGTCCCCACAGCATTGTATTATATTACCTGTCAGTCCCCACAGCATTGTGTTATATTACCTGTCAGTCCCCACAGCATTGTGTTATATTATCTATCAGTCCACACAGCATTGTGTTATATTATCTGTCAGTCCCCACAGCATTGTGTTATATTATCTGTCAGTCCCCACAGCATTGTGTTATATTATCTGTCAGTCCCCACAGCATTGTGTTATATTACCTGTCAGTCCCCACAGCATTGTGTTATATTACCTGTCAGTCCCCACAGCATTGTGTTATATTACCTGTCAGTCCCCACAGCATTGTGTTATATTATCTGTCAGTCCCCACAGCATTGTGTTATATTATCTGTCAGTCCCCACAGCATTGTATTATATTACCTGTCAGTCCCCACAGCATTGTGTTATATTATCTGTCAGTCCCCACAGCATTGTGTTATATTATTTGTCAGTCCCCACAGCATTGTGTTATATTATCTGTCAGTCCCCACAGCATTGTGTTATATTATCTGTCAGTCCCCACAGCATTGTATTATATTATCTGTCAGTCCCCACAGCATTGTATTATATTACCTGTCAGTCCCCACAGCATTGTATTATATTACCTGTCAGTCCCCACAGCATTGTATTATATTATCTGTCAGTCCCCACAGCATTGTGTTATATTATCTGTCAGTCCCCACAGCATTGTGTTATATTACCTGTCAGTCCCCACAGCATTGTGTTATATCATCTGTCAGTCCCCACAGCATTGTGTTATATTATCTGTCAGTCCCCACAGCATTGTATTATATTATCTGTCAGTCCCCACAGCATTGTGTTATATTATCTGTCAGTCCCCACAGCATTGTGTTATATTATCTGTCAGTCCCCACAGCATTGTGTTATATTATATGTCAGTCCCCACAGCATTGTGTTATATTATCTGTCAGTCCCCACAGCATTGTGTTATATTATCTGTCAGTCCCCACAGCATTGTGTTATATTATCTGTCAGTCCCCACAGCATTGTGTTATATTATCTGTCAGTCCCCACAGCATTGTGTTATATTATCTGTCAGTCCCCACAGCATTGTGTTATATTATCTGTCAGTCCCCACAGCATTGTGTTATATTATCTGTCAGTCCCCACAGCATTGTATTATATTACCTGTCAGTCCCTACAGCATTGTATTATATTATCTGTCAGTCCCCACAGCATTGTATTATATTACCTGTCAGTCCCCACAGCATTGTGTTTAATTATCTGTCAGTCCCCACAGCATTGTATTATATTATCTGTCAGTCCCCACAGCATTGTGTTATATTATCTGTCAGTCCCAACAGCATTGTATTATAATTTGTCAGTCCCCACAGCATTGTATTATATTATCTGTCAGTCCCCACAGCATTGTGTTATGTTACCTGTCACAGTTGCCCACAGGTATAATATAATTTACTTATCACATTGATTTACAGCATTGCATTATGTTCCCTGTCAAAGTCGCACAGCTTTAGTATAATTTATTTATCATAGTTGCCAATAGCATTGTACTAAATTATTTGTTGCATTTGCCCATAGCATTTTGTAACGTTACCTGTCACAGTTGCCCACAGCGTTGGTATCCACATTTTCATTACAGAAACACTTTTCACAAGGACGTGCAAGGCCATTTAAACCAGCAGGATCACCATAGTAACCATCCAAACATATGTCACACAGGTTGCCTGGTAACAACAAAATTAATTTAGGATGTATTTGTTCTTAAATACATAGACTGTTGTCATATCTGTATATTGATATTTCTGACCAAGGTTTCCTTGTTGACAGATTATCAGAACATTTCAGAAGTCACTTTTACACATTAGTCAAATAAATTCAGATTACTGATATCCAAAACAACAGACTGACAGGGCCACGACAACAACATCAAAGACGTATACCGTCTCCCTTACAATGATATTCTGTTATTATATAAGAGATGTATACCATCTACCTTACAATGATATTCTGTTATTATATAAGAGATGTATATTGCCTCCCTTACAATGATATTCTGGTATTACATAAGTGACATATTTTGCCCACATTACACTGATATTCTGTTATTATCAATTATGTTATTATTATCTGATACTATCTGTATAATGATGATTACCTCCATGCCCCTCCTCACACTCTGTACAAAAAACATCCCCACCAGGCAGCTGTTCACATGCGCCTCCATTTGGACATGGACACACCTGACAATCTTCTGCTGTACCCTGCCTTGGATCTCCATAGTAACCCTTAATACACATCTCACAGTTCTGTCCTTCTGTGTTGTGTTCACATCTACAGCGACCTAGAAATAAAGATTACTGTCAATCATCAAAGGCCTCAAAATAAAGATTGCTGTCACACAACAACAGCCTATATTGTTTGTAAATTGATTTTCATTTAGAGGTTACTTGTAGTATTTTAACATACTGTTAGTTTATATGAGACAAATATACAATGCAGTCATTTTTAATAGAAAGTTATCCTTGTTGATATCATGGAGAGAAGTGATGTTTTATTAATTTTTATGTTGCCTTATCACATATCAATAATTCAGAAAGAAGGCTGCATGGTTAGAACAAGATTTTCAGGCAAGTTTCTTATATGACATCACAATTTTCATCTCCACCTCTTTCAAAGTTTACCAATGGAGAAAGTTCTCACAGAAAAATACAGGAGGGGACAAGTTTTCATGCCTACCTGAATCTGGAGCACAGCTCTCTGAGTGGCTGTTACACTGACATGGAACACAGCTGGAAAAGGGACCTCCAAATGCTGGTGATCTCATGTAGCCAGCCGCACAGGACTCGCAGAACTGGCCAACATATCCCTTTGGACAGGTACACTGCTCAACCCAGGGTGCTGCCTCCCCTCCATTTGATCCAAGACTGGCTGTGCCCAGATGCACATTGTCAAGGAAACCAACACCTACAACACAGACCATACTTGGACACTTGTAAGACAGATCACACTTTAGCTAAAAAAAATACCCAGTAAAATCGCAAATTACCCCAGTTTTCCTTACAATTTCCTCCTGATAGCTAGGAAACTATCTTGTTTGATTTCCCCCACATCAATATCTTGTATTTCCCCTGTTATCTATGTAAGAAGCTACAGTGCAGTAACTTAACCACCAGTTCTGTATGTTGGAGAAGAGACATACCTCCATCACTGTACGTGGCACGGATTTTTATGGCCGTCAGGTTAGAAAGGATGGCAATAAAATCACTTGGCTGGAGACGTGGGGTCCACTGGTAGTTAGGGTGTTGATGGAGCCGGAAAACGTAGGTCTGGCTTTGAAGGCCAGGCATCGGGTTGGACTGAGTATAGATCGCAGTGGAGATTCGCTGGCCTGATCCCTCCAGGACAATGTCCACAGCAAGTGGTCGTGGACGGTCCTGACCGATACGTAGGTCAAAGGTTAGGTATTGGTTGTAGCTGAATCTCTGGTCTCCAAGGTAACGAGCTGGTAAAGGCACGGAAAAGAATTGAAATCAACAAATGTAAAAATTTCTTTCACAAAAAAAGAAACAATCTTGAAACTACAGGGACAAGGCGTAATTGATCTCTCATACACGAAAGTAAACAATGATTAGGCAACACACAATCACAGGAACATATTGTGGAAAACTTATTACCTAAATTACATGAAAATCCACTTTGTTCATATATTAAGTCGATCACAAGAAAATGAGGTATACACAATCAAAGGATTCAACTTGTGGTAAAAATGCTGATTTCATCACTGGATTTTACTGTGTAATGCATGCGACATAATCCCAAACTTCTGGGTGATAGAAGTGCAACTTCATCTGGAATCATAACAGTTTGACTTGAATATGGTAGTTACCAGGAGCTAGGAAGTAGATAGGCTGGTCGTCCTCAGAAGATGCTCCAATATTCTGAAGGATGCCATCATAAGAAGTTTCTATGACATTGTTGGCTCGATCTCCTGCTGTCCATCTTTGTCTGCCTGTAACAACATTGATAATCTGTTAAGAATTCATTTCAAATCAGCTGATAACACCTAATACTGTATATCTCATAATACTTGATACTTTATGTCTTAAAATATACTCAATAATTACTGTATATCTCACTATACTAAATACTTTATGCCTTAAAATATACTTGATACTTTCATAGATATATCTTGAAATATACTGATTACTGTATATCTATCTCACAATGCTCAATACTTTATGTCTTACAATATACTCAATACTACATGTATATCTCACACTATACCTAATAATGTTTAAGTCAGACGATGCCAATAACTGTATCTCACATCACACCAAGTTTTGTCAGTATATGTAATTAATAATAGGTTTAAATAAGTTTTCTGTAATCATTAATTTGGGAATGGAAAGCCAAAAAAAAAAAAAAAAAAGGACAAGATACTGCTGTAGCAGTGACATTATACCAGGTGTAAAAAAATGACATTTTGCCATACATACTTTTAGCTAAGTAGCAACAGCTGCCTGATTGAATTTTCAAAATCAGCACGTATATGGTAATCCTCTAAATAAATCACCATTCAGCACTGCAGGAAATAAATTTATGATATTTACAACAACTGAGACAAGAGCTGTCTGTATTGACAACTTACCTGTCTCGAAGTCTGAAGTGATACTCCTAGCATAGTAGCCTGCAGCACTGGAACATTCCTCCGAATGGCCATAACAAAAACAGGATGTACATCCAAACTCATTGTCAGAGTTCAGGTTAAAATAGCCAATCTTACACCTGAAATATAGAAGCACTGTATCACATAGCCATCAATAAAGGCAGTAGACATCAGCAGCCGTCAGAATCAGAGGCATCAAAAAAATTGACTGGCAAACTGGAACGTTGAGCAGAATCAAATTAGGAAGTGTCTGATCAAAGAAAGATCTAAGTCTGCAGACACATTCTCTACCTTTTGTCTTGTATACATTTTTTCATAATATTACGAAGCTAAGTAAATTAACAATACATATTGAAGAAAAGTTGACCAGAATCAAATGAGATGCCATCTGACTACAGATCTAGGTCAACATATTTTCAAAAGATTTCATTGGTAAATATTTTGTTAAAACATTATGAAGCAAAGTTGAACAGAATCAAATGCTACCTACCTATCACAGGTGCGTCCTTCTACCAGCTCCTTACACTGGCAGTTACCATCCAAGGGATTACAGGTAGGGAAGTTGTTCACCACCACCAGACTGCCAGCAACATTACAGCCACATGGTCTATTGACACAAACACATAGAATATTACTTTAGCCACATGGTCTATTGACACAAACACATAGAATATTACTTTAACAGATCAAGACACTATTTTAATATTCACTTAGCATTAGTAATCTGTTGTACTTGCATTGCATGTTTAAGGAGAAGATCACAACAGCATTTTAAATCCAGGGAGATCAGTAATCAGCCCATTCATCTCCTTTAACATCGGACTTTTCTTAAAATCAAACGTAAACATACCATATATGTTTATCCCCACCTACCTAAGGAACCAATTAACTTACTTGCAGCCATACTGTCCGAAGTCATAATGTCCAACTTCGCAGCGGTCACACTTATCACCAGTCACTCCAGGTTTACACCGACATCGTCCAATACTGTCACACTGGAGGTCTTCAGAGCCTGTAACATAAGCCAAAACAATTAATACCTTAGAAATGGGCTACAAGATGTATATAGATTGTTAGTGTAACTTCATAGAATAGTATAAAGAACCTACAGGGTTACATTTTCAGAATACATGTGTACTTTTCTACAGGATTACAGTTACAGAGTGTGTGTACTTACCTACCGTAATATGGGGTATGTGTGTACTAACAAACTGGGTTACAGTAATATGGTGTGTGTGTACTAACTTACTTGGTTGCAGTAATATGGGGTGTGTGTACTTACAAACTGGGTTACAGTAATATGGTGTGTGTGTGGGTTACAGTAATAAAGTGTGTGTGTGTGTACTAACTTACTGGGTTACAGTAATACAGTGTGTGTGTACTAACTTACTGGGTTACAGTAATAAAGTGTGTGTGTGTGTACTAACTTACTGGGTTACAGTAATAAAGTGTGTGTGTGTGTACTAACTTACTGGGTTACAGTAATATGGTGTGTGTGTACTAACTTACTGGGTTACAGTAATATGGTGTGTGTGTGTGTGTACTTAACATTCCTGGTATATATAAATCAGTGATTATAAAGTGTGTGTGTTGTAACATTCCTGGTATATATAAATCAGTGATGTGTGTGTTGTAAAGTGTGTGTGTGTGTGTGTGTGTGTGTGTACATTCCTGGTATATATAAATCAGTGATGATAAAGTGTGTGTGTGTGTAACATTCCTGGTATATATAAATCAGTGATGATAAAGTGTGTGTGTTTTAAAATTCCTGGTAAAAAAAAAAAAGTAATGATAAAGTTGTGTGTGTGTTGTAACATTCCTGGTATATATAAATCAGTGATGATAAAGTGTGTGTGTTGTAACATTCCTGGTATATATAAATCAGTGATGATAAAGTGTGTGTGTTGTAACATTCCTGGTATATATAAATCAGTGATGATAAAGTGTGTGTAACATTCCTGGTATATATAAATCAGTGATGATAAAGTGTGTGTGTTGTAACATTCCTGGTATATATAAATCAGTGATGATAAAGTGTGTGTGTTGTAACATTCCTGGTATATATAAATCAGTGATGATAAAGTGTGTGTGTTGTAACATTCCTGGTATATATAAATCAGTGATGATAAAGTGTGTGTGTTGTAACATTCCTGGTATATATAAATCAGTGATGATAAAGTGTGTGTGTTGTAACATTCCTGGTATATATAAATCAGTGATGATAAAGTGTGTGTGTTGTAACATTCCTGGTATATATAAATCAGTGATGATAAAGTGTGTGTGTTGTAACATTCCTGGTATATATAAATCAGTGATGATAAAGTGTGTGTGTTGTAACATTCCTGGTATATATAAATCAGTGATGATAAAGTGTGTGTGTTGTAACATTCCTGGTATATATAAATCAGTGATGATAAAGTGTGTGTGTAACATTCCTGGTATATATAAATCAGTGATGATAAAGTGTGTGTGTTGTAACATTCCTGGTGTGTGTGTTATAGTGATGATAAAGTGTGTGTGTGTAACATTCCTGGTATATATAAATCAGTGATGATAAAGTGTGTGTGTTGTAACATTCCTGGTATATATAAATCAGTGATGATAAAGTGTGTGTGTGTGTATAAATCAGTGATGATAAAGTGTGTGTGTTGTAACATTCCTGGTATATATAAATCAGTGATGATAAAGTGTGTGTGTTGTAACATTCCTGGTATATATAAATCAGTGATGATAAAGTGTGTGTGTTGTAACATTCCTGGTATATATAAATCAGTGGTGATAAAGTGTGTGTGTTGTAACATTCCTGGTATATATAAATCAGTGATGATAAAGTGTGTGTGTAACATTCCTGGTATATATAAATCAGTGATGATAAAGTGTGTGTGTTGTAACATTCCTGGTATATATAAATCAGTGATGATAAAGTGTGTGTGTTGTAACATTCCTGTATATATAAATCAGTGTGTGTGTGTGTGTTGTAACTTCCTGGTATATATAAATCAGTGATGATAAAGTGTGTGTGTTGTAACATTCCTGGTATATATAAATCAGTGATGATAAAGTGTGTGTGTTGTAACATTCCTGGTATATATAAATCAGTGATGATAAAGTGTGTGTGTTGTAAGATTCCTGGTATATATAAATCAGTGATGATTGTGTGTGTTGTAACATTCCTGGTATATATAAATCAGTGATGATAAAGTGTGTGTGTTGTAACATTCCTGGTATATATAAATCAGTGATGATAAAGTGTGTGTGTTGTAACATTCCTGGTATATATAAATCAGTGATGATGTGTGTGTGTGTGTACATTCCTGGTATATATAAATCAGTGTGTGTGTGTGTGTGTGTTCCTGGTATATATACATTCCTGTGTGTGTTGTAACATATATATAAATCAGTGATGATAAAGTGTGTGTGTGTAACATTCCTGGTATATATAAATCAGTGATGATAAAGTGTGTGTGTTGTAACATTCCTGGTATATATAAATCAGTGATGATTGTGTGTGTTGTAACATTCCTGGTATATATAAATCAGTGATGATTGTGTGTGTTGTAACATTCCTGGTATATATAAATCAGTGTGTGTGATAAAGTGTGTGTGTAACATTCCTGCATGTGTGTGTGTGTGTACTAACTTACTGGGTTACAGTAATACAGTGTGTGTGTGTGTACTAACTTACTGGGTTACAGTAATACAGTGTGTGTGTACTAACTTACTGGGTTACAGTAATAAAGTGTGTGTGTGTGTGTACTAACTTACTGGGTTACAGTAATACAGTGTGTGTGTGTGTGTGTACTAACTTACTGGGTTACAGTAATACAGTGTGTGTGTACTAACTTACTGGGTTACAGTAATACAGTGTGTGTGTGTGTACTAACTTACTGGGTTACAGTAATACAGTGTGTGTGTACTAACTTACTGGGTTACAGTAATATGGTGTGTGTGTGTACTAACTTACTGGGTTACAGTAATATGGTGTGTGTGTGTGTACTAACTTACTGGGTTACAGTAATACAGTGTGTGTGTGTGTACTAACTTACTGGGTTACAGTAATAAAGTGTGTGTGTGTGTACTAACTTACTGGGTTACAGTAATACAGTGTGTGTGTGTGTGTGTGTGTGTGTGTGTGTACTAACTTACTGGGTTACAGTAATAAAGTGTGTGTGTGTGTACTAACTTACTGGGTTACAGTAATACAGTGTGTGTGTACTAACTTACTGGGTTACAGTAATACAGTGTGTGTGTGTGTACTAACTTACTGGGTTACAGTAATACAGTGTGTGTGTGTGTGTACTAACTTACTGGGTTACAGTAATACAGTGTGTGTGTACTAACTAACTGGGTTACAGTAATATGTGTGTGTGTACTAACTTACTGAGTAACAGTTACAGGATGTGTGTGTGTGTACTGTTACAGTTACAGTGTGTGTGTGTGTACTTACTACAGAGTTACAGTAATATGTGTGTGTGTACTTGCCTACAGGGTTACAGTTACAGGCTGTGTGTGTACTTACCTACAGAGTTACAGTTACAGGCTGTGTGTGTACTTACCTACAGAGTTATAGTTACAGGCTGTGTGTGTACTTGCCTACAGGGTTACAGTTACAGGCTGTGTGTGTACTTACCTACAGAGTTACAGTTACAGGCTGTGTGTGTACTTACCTACAGGGTTACAGTTACAGGATGTGTGTGTACTTACCTACTGTATAGAGTTACAGTTATAGAATGTGTGTGTACTTGCCTACAGAGTTACAGTTACAGGATATGTGTGTACTTACCTACAGAGCTACAGTTACAGGATATGTGTGTACTTACCTACAGGATTACAGCTACAGGGAGTACACATATTGTCCTCTGGACGTCGGTAATGGTTATCCTTACACCTTTCACACTTTGGTCCATCTGTGTTGTCGCGACAGTCAATACAATAGCCGCCATGTCCAGTCAGGGCAAACAAGTCAGGGTCAAAGTAACAACCATCAGCCTTGCCGTTACAGTCACATCCTGAATAGGTTTAAAAAGGTTTTTAATTTTTCAACACATAATATGATATAGAATTTCTATTTTTTTTTAAATCAACTCTTTTGTTGTAAATAACTGCTATGAATTATTCTTTTGAAATTTGTATCTATTTGACAAGTTTTCAAAGACATTATTTTTGTCTTTGATATAAAAAATATATTTTTTCACATTCAGAGATAGGACTAGAAAATATCTGTAAGACTATGACACTGAAAAAAATCACTTACCTTAGCTACACTCCAGTAAGCATGTATAGAACCACAAAACCACATTACCAAGTAATATATAAATGGATATATTGAAATTTGTGAGGTTTTTTAAAATGTAGACCGGAAATGTGTGTACGAAGAAAAAAAATTTCACTGGAAAACTCTTTTAAATATGCCATACTGAGACCAGGAGCAATCAGATTTGAGACTTTTGAACATTTAAAAAGAATGAATGAAGAAAGGGTACAACTAGGGATCACCAGAAACTACACAAGTATCAAATATAGCGATAGCAATGACTGTTTGTCAGCTGCAGTTTTTCCTCGATCGTACTCAGAAATGAAGAGGCAAAACATGTTTTTTACTATGGGGAATGAGCTATTAAATGGCTGTGTGAGGGGGGAAAGAGCTATTAAATGGCTGTGTGACAATCCATGGAGACCACTAAGCATATAAGAAGTCATTATCTGATACTAGTTGATACCTTCTATTGTATCATCACCACTAAAGGGATTCTCCAAATGGATATCACACATCTATCCTATACTTCAAGAATAGCCACTTAAGAGATGTATGGCAGATGCAGATCCATTTAGAGATGTATGGCAGATGTAGATCCATTTAGAGATGTATGGCAGATTTAGATCCATTTAGAGGTGTATGGCAGATTAAGATCCATTTAGAGATGTATGACAGATTTAGATCCATTTAGATATGTATGACAGATTAAGATCAACTTAGAGATGTATGGCAGATTTAGATCCATTTAGAGATGTATGGCAGATTTAGATCAACTTAGAGATGTATGGCAGATTTAGATCCATTTAGAGATGTATGGCAGATTAAGATCAATTTAGAGATGTATGACAGATTTAGATCCATTTAGAGATGTATGACAGATTAAGATCCATTTAGATGTATGGCAGATTAAGATCAACTTAGAGATGTATGACAGATTAAGATCAATTTAGAGATGTATGACAGATTTAGATCAACTTAGAGATGTATGACAGAACTACAGCCATTTAGAGATGTATGACAGATTTAGATCCATTTAGAGATGTATGACAGAACTACAGCCATTTAGAGATGTATGACAGATTAAGATCAACTTAGAGATGTATGACAGATTTAGATCCATTTAGAGATGTATGACAGATTAAGATCAACTTAGAGATGTATGACAGATTAAGATCAACTTAGAGATGTATGGCAGATTTAGATCCATTTAGAGATGTATGACAGAACTACAGCCATTTAGAGATGTATGACAGATTAAGATCAACTTAGAGATGTATGACAGATTAAGATCAATTTAGAGATGTATGACAGATTCAGATCCATTTAGAGATGTATGGCAGATGTAGATCCATTCAGAGATGTATGGCAGATTTAGATCCATTTAGAGATGTATGACAGAACTACAGCCATTTAGAGATGTATGACAGATTAAGATCAACTTAGAGATGTATGACAGATTTAGATCCATTTAGAGATGTATGACAGAACAAGATCCATTTAGAGATGTATGACAGAACTAGATCCATTTAGAGATGTATGACAGATTTAGATCCATTTAGAGATGTATGACAGATTAAGATCAACTTAGAGATGTATGACAGAACTACAGCCATTTAGAGATGTATGACAGATTTAGATCCATTTAGAGATGTATGACAGAACTAGATCCATTTAGAGATGTATGACAGAACTAGATCCATTTAGAGATGTATGACAGATTTAGATCCATTTAGAGATGTATGACAGATTAAGATCAACTTAGAGATGTATGGCAGATTTAGATCCATTTAGAGATGTATGACAGAACTACAGCCATTCATAGATGTATTTGTAACAGAACTACATTTTAAATGCTCCTTTTTTTCACTTAAGTATCCACTTTGTTGTACTTCTATATGCATTCTGCAGTTCTAACGATACAAAACCTGTGATATGGTTTACTAGGGACTTTTGGAGCAGGACAGTACTTTTATCATACAAATATGATATCATAAGTGAATGCCATGTTAGTAGTGTAAGTATACATTAACAATCAGTGATATACATTCTACCAAATTTTCTTATATCATTTTATAAAGCATTGAAAATCAATACAAGAAATTTCATAATCAAATCACTATCATTTATCATGACTATGAACAACTAAGAGTCAGTTTTTTACATTTATGTATTACAGCTTTGAAAGTTATTGATTCAGAAATGTGAGACACAACAGCAGATTAAAAAGATGAGGTGATCAAGATGAAGTCATCCTGTGTTTCGTGTGATAGAAATACTTACGAAGGCACTCATGTGCATTTCGTTCGGTGGCCCTTCCCCAAGGCCGATCATTGTGGGTAGGTAGACAACGCTCACAGTTCGGACCAGTGGTGTTATGCCGACACTCACAGATCAGCTGAATTTCTCCATCTACCTCCACCTTGTTACATGCACTGGCATGGCCATTACACTTACACCTACGACAATTAAAATACATTATTATACAAATTTACATAGCTATTACACTCACATCTGGTATGATTGACATATACCAATATACAGACTGTAGTTGCTGTTACACTTACATATATATACCAACCATCCCTACTTAAGAAGATGTCTGATTTTGGACCCTAAATTTTGCTTTTTTTTGCTGTAAGTGAATTTGCTAAACTATTCTAAGATCTAATAATTTTATTTGAATTAACAAGTGGAGGGTAAATGCACACAATTTATTTATGCCTTTATATTTGAGCACATAAAATCTTCCCCATGAAATTTTTTTAGAAATTGTCAAGTATGCACTTACATCTTACATGATTTACATATATTATAATACACACTACATCACCATTATAAACCAAAATCTGGGACAAGTCAGTAACATACATCTCAACCATATCATTAAATGTAAAACAGGATTTTTCTATCTTATATGATGTACAACTAAAGATGATAAAATTTCATAGATATCTTATAACAAAGTATCTATACCCCGGTAACACTACAAACAAACCTGGCACCAACAGCCAAGTCGGAGATGGCATAGAAATAGGATTTGAGGACCTGGGGATCACCAAACACTTCATCTCCGAATGTGTTCATCCGTGTCAATACAATCCTGATGTCTGTTGCAGTGACCCATTCCTACAATACAAAACAAATGAAACTATTAAACCCTATATTAAACCCTATAAAACCATTGAAAACTTCCACACAAAACGCATAAAAAACATTATCATCTGATGTTTGTCATGGTTACAATTACAATCAGTATTTCGGAATATAACAAATACTTTTTAATCTGCATGTTTACCAGGAAAAGAAACTTAACATGTTTTGAAATTCAGAAAACGTAAATGAGTATAAAAAAATATGTAATTTGTTTGTTTTGAAGTTGAAAATTTACTGTATTTTGTATCTTGACAGGGCTTTCGATCTACCAGATTTGGGGCCGAATATCGGCCCCATTCCCAAATGCAAAATAGTATCTTTTTTTTCCCAATTTAGACCCCAAGTTTTCCCAATTCTAAGGAAAACACTGCTATTTTCCCCAATTCTAAGGGCCCCAGGCCCCAGTCCCAAAATGGGGTGTGAGAACCATGCTTGAAACTCACTATTATACAGATATATGCTAAATAAATACCAAACACCCTCTCCTATTCAAACTAAAAAATCTATAAATAGACTAGCCCACTGGTCAATACCCTTGAATAACACCTAGGGATCTGGATCCCTCCTGCAACTTCCCAGGGGATCAAGCTGACACATCCTGTCAGAGATAATCAGGATTTTAATAGAAGCCACATGTAGCCTACAGCCATGCTTACTGGAGGTCAGCTCAAAGGTTAAAACCACTGCTCCTCCTTACTTGCTGCATAGAATGGCATATTGACCTTTGAGATGACCCTAACTATATTATATATTCATCTACATGTGCTCTGGCTTTCCAGGGCTGGGAAGAAAAGACAAGCCTTTTTTCCTTTGAACTGATGTAATACATTAGATAAGTGTACTAAAGACAAACTATAGAGAATAGAACTTTTTAACATTTACATTTAGTACCACATAAAAATGAACTACTATATCAACAATTGTGGGTATAAGACACCAAACAAAGTCATTTCTCTTGTATATTTATATATTTTCCGGGTTTTACAGCCACTATCATGGCTTTTCAGTGGACGAGTTCTAAATATAAAGTTTGTTAAGTCAGTCCAACTGGCTAGTATCTTTAATATAGGATGTTAAATATAGCGCTGAGTCAGGTTTTTTTACACTGGCAGTGAGTAGTAATGCAGCGAGGACTGCTGGTCACACACACTGTACCTCACTAGGAACACACATACTGTACCACTAAAATTCATTAATCTATGATCTATTAGGTCTATACCACTAGGTGGCTGAGGATGTGTATCTCATCCGTGGTTCTTTACCCGGCTGACAGGTTATTGTTACTGTCAATTCAGACAAGCAATCTAAAACATCTGACCGAGTGCTGATCATCAAGTTTTACAATAAGAATTTATAAACACTGTGTGTATGTACTTAATCAGGCAGAAAGACTTTAACAACTGCACAGTCACCTACCACAGGCTAAATCTATAGTCATCAACCCTACATTCAACCTGACATGGGTTCTCATAACTAAAGTAAAGAATTTGTCACATATGCCTCTTAAATCACAAACAGTAATTTTTGTCAAATTTTCTTATAATCTGCATGTCTCATTTGTCACCAACAATCAGCATGCTTTTGTCATATATTTTCAGTAATATGACTTATTGACAGCTGGGTGTAATTTTAAAATTTTGTATCTATGCCAAGTATTGTATGATGTAATCTTTGACAAAAGAGATTCTTTTTCTATCATAAAAGAATAATCTGTCTGCAGGAAATATATAAAAAAAAATAAAAATAATTACAGTGTGTAGTAATACTTTCCCAGTGACTGGACTACAAGTCTATGTGTACATGTGTTTTATATAAACATCACAATGAATTGGGACGTCCTCGGTGACAACAAGGGAGTCCTGTATTCCCACACAGAATGCCAGAGGTCTGCTGATAATGTCAAGTTCTGCACTCCACACTCATAAAATGTTACTCTCATGCAGACAAATGTCATCACAGAACAAACAGCCCTATACAGTACAACATGTACAAATATGTCCATTTTTATGAACTTTCACCACAAACAAAGCTTAGTTTTTATATCACATGTCCTTTTATCCTTTACCCTGTATTTTAGGTAATAACATGATCACAGATTCCCTGTACTTTACATAACAAAATGATGCTTGATTCCCATATTAGTGCATCTATGTCAATAGTACATGATGCAACATATGTAAACCCAACAATGAAATTGAAAGGGGGATGAATAGGAAGTGAGGGTGATGTGGATGGTGTTAGGGGTAGTGTACAGTTACAGGGTGGTGGTGTACAGTACAGAGTTTTGAGCAGTGTAGGGTACTGTATGTGGTGTACTGTCCTATGAATGGTGTACATCGGCCCATATACTATTGACACAGGGTTTAAATGGTGGAGAAGGGTAGTTGGTGTACGAGCATGGGGAGGTATGGATGTGTAGGGGCTTGGAGAGGGATGGGTGGTGTAGGAGAGTGGAAACGGACTGGTGGTGTAGAGAATAGAAAGGGACAGGGGAGTAGGGGGAACAGGGGTGTAGGGGGCATAGAAAGGGATGGCTATGTAGGAGCTCAGAGAGCGATGATTGTGTAGGGCCTGGAGACTGACTGGTGGTATAGGAGCATGGAGAGGGACATGTGTGTAGGGGCTTGGAGAGGGATGGTTGTGTAGGGACATGGAGAGGGATGGCTGTATAGGGGCATGAAGAGGGATGACTGCGTAGGGGCATGAAGAGGGATGGCTGTGTAGAGGCATAGAGGGATGGCTGTACAGGGGCATGAAGGATAGAAAAAGATTGGTAGTGTAAGGGTACAGAGAGAGCTAAGGGTGGTTTACAGAATGAGAGTAGGTACCAACATCATCACGTTAATTAAAGTAAACAAAGTCTGAGGATCACCTGTTCAATTATTTAAATAGCATCAAAATATCTATTTCAGTTATTTTGTTTTTAACTTTTTTTGGTGGGGAGGGGGGTTCAATTGTGATTCTAAAGCAGGTTTAGGTATTGAGTCGAGAAACTAGAACTTCTGAACAAGAAGTTCTACACTCTATCAATTAGACAAGTCTTTTGCTGGGGCTTTGATCTTGGAATGCTAAAGTGTTGTCCTTACATCAGGTACAGCTGTAATCAGATGTTACTTATGTACCAGTGTAGAGATCCCTGATACTCCTGTAGACAGACCAGCCACAACAACAACACTACATGTCTGTCACAACCCGTCTCATCAAACATACACTAACACAATAACTTTCTCACACTTCTCCCATGTGTTACAGTCAGAATGCCTGACTACACACACACACAGAACTGGAATCAGCAACAAAATACCGCCATTTTACAGAAAACAATTTAATGGTGTCACTTTTGATATTTCATTCCTGCCAAACATCTCCTAACAACAGTTGTAGCTTCATCCTCAGTCTGGCACCAATAACAATGTTCACTAAAGGCAGGCTGACTGGGACATTATTTACAAAAACACTGTTTAAATAATTCTCTGTTCATTAATTTGAAGCAAAATTCAACAATAAACATAACAATAAGTATACAGGACTACCAAGCTATATTATAAATTACAAATATCAAATGGTATTTACTATGAAGTAATCAAATTTTTTTTTTTTTTTAATAAATTGTTCAATCTTCATGTTGTGCCTCTTGTGCAAGCTGTAAGAGCTATTTAAGTGATCGTAATCGGCTCGCATATGATATGCTTTATCTGATCTTTTCATAAAAAACTGTTTCAATGGTTGATGTCATGCTGTGTTAAACCAGTATATTTTTATTATTATACACTCAGGTTATAAGTGTCAACTTAGTGTACCCACAGATGTTAGTTAGCCCATCATTTGTTCCCCGTTAACTTCCCAACAGTGAAATGGTCAGTGAAGTGAGGTCAACAGGTTCTCCCTAGTACCAGGTCTGCTTTATATCTAAGGCATGTCAAGTCCCACTTCAACCCTCCTTAACAGCTCATTCTGGGGTGAGAATATGTGTATACAAACAAAAGAAACTTGTGGTAACCACAAATACCATAGAAGGTCTGTATTTACCACAGAGAGTCCTGTTCCACACTCAAGTAACAGACAGTGTACCAGCTGACTGTTGGTACCAAAGCCCTCTGTGGTCAATCAACAGGAAGCTGGACAAATGGCTAACACAAAGTTAAGAATATATATATAGTTAAACTGTGAATGGAACATCAATAGACTGCTGTATCAGCTGTACTGTGCAGACTCCCCATGGAGACTGACAGACTCCAGGCTCCCACACTCCATCTACAACCATCTATCTTAGCCTATATTTTGGGTCACTAAGATTCTTTAAATATATTTCACAATACAGGAAGTGACCTAACTTTGTCTATGTTGTTTCCCATTTTCATTTCAGGTGATGGCACATATCCAGTCATCCATACAGGAATTATTATATAATTACAGTACTGTATCAGTGTTTAGTTTGTATAGTCATATAGGTGTCATCATGTGTACACCACTAGTCCACACTGCACTAAACATAGGCTTATCCCAAGACATATTAAACATAGATAGTGATATTAACTATAGGTAACTGTAAAAGGACAGCCAGGTAAAATATTTGGGAAAATGTTATGTTTTGTCATTCTTACTAATTCATTACACAAAGAAAGCAGATTAATAAAAAAAATAGAAAATCACAAAATACCATAACAATTTTTGTCTACACACTGGCTTCAAAGCATCCACACAAGGGATCTATATCACATTTGTGATATCAGTTTGTTTTTTCTGACATTTCTATCTCTTAAATGATACCATATCAGTATACACACAACAATGTAGATAGATGTCAATCGGAGCTTTGTGTGCATCTAATGATAAAATTGTTTGTGCTGACTAAACTTACAGTTCTACTGGTGAATCATGTCCTTTTAAACCCTGCTTAGTAGGAAATTAATCAAAAGACATAATTCACTCCATATTCTTATCAGCAATAATAAATCCACCATGAAATTAAATGTCAAGACTGTTTCTGCCTCATAATAATGTCAAAACAATACTTTCGTATTTCTAAGTGAAAATGGATAATAAAACTGCAATCGGATAATTACTGAGTATGGCAACAAATTTTCTTTAATTTTCTACCTAATTTTCTATACACTTCAATACCTTCCCCCTCCTTTCCCCCAAATGCCACACAACTAACTTCTCTTGGCCAATCTGTCTTAACTGATATACTTTTCATTAAGAGTCTATAGCTCTCTGTGGTATTGCTCTGGAACTTGAGGCTTATTACGAGCATAACAGAAACTTTTTAAAAAGCTAAAGAAAAACAAGAGAACATGAACCAAATATCCATATCAATTACCTGCAACTTTGGACTTTCTTCAAACTCAAAGGCACCTGGCCTGCCCTCTAGGGTACTGAAGGGGACACTGGCCCTGGTGAGTGGTGAGATGTCACTGTAATAATCAGTACAGATGGCCTGGTCCTCATTGTCATAGGTAATCACAGCCCTTCGAGGTAAGTTGTATGTACTGTAGCAAGATGCACTGTAAAATTGGTATGGAGTCCACTCGCTTTCCTTGGAGGTACGCTTGTAAATAGCAAAACTTTCTGGACGAGGGGAGTGGAAACGCAGTCTCACATAGGTAATGTCATAGGCTTTTTCTGTAAAAAGGGTATAAAATAAAACAAAGATTAATTAATGAAATATACAAATGGCAAGCTAAAGAAAGAATACCACTAAATATCACATACCATTTGTGAGGAGATAACAGTTGACATTTTTTGTCCCACTTTTTAACCCTGAAGTGAACTTTCTGAAATGCCAAACTGACTTGTTTCATACCTAAATTGTCTGAAGACAAAGAGATTTGCAATTTGTTTTGTTTTTCCAGTAAGCTCAGTGATTTTTTTTCTGAATTTCATGGCAATGTCTTTTCTACTCTTGAATGTGTTCAATTAATATTTTCCCTGCAGAAACTTTCCATAATGAATTGCTGACCCAGAGGATTGGTGATTCCTCTGTATGTAGCACTATTAAATCTCATTGTCCCAGTAATATACAAAGTACAATGACAGAATTTTATCATTTTTCCCATGAGTGTCATGTTGTTTTGTTTTATATTGATATGACAATTTGGAATTTATACTGACAAGAATTTTAGAAACTCTCTTACCAGTAATATAATCCCAAAATATATGATCATGTTCTGAGGCCAAAGGCCAAAAAATGGCTTATACACATTGTATCAAACTTTCCATTTTAATACTTCTTTTTTGTCTTCTTTATTGAGACTACTATTTCCACCTTGTTTCAGAGCTATTGTCACACCTTTTTAAGATAAATTTTTCCATCTTTTTAAGGCTATACTTTTTCTGTAATTTTTAGGGCTACTTTATCTGTCTTCAATTAAACAGTTTTAAAGGTGGGCCCATGATTTATGACGCAATCATGATATTATATGATACTGTGCCAATTTGTAAAACTGTGATACTACATCAACCTTGACATACCAGACACAACAAGCCTATACAATACACAATAGTACACATTGGCAGTGTTCCATACTCCTGCTAACAGTAAGTACATTACTTTAGAACTCCTGATGATGACTTATAAGGCTTAAAACAGAGATCAAGTCTTGTAATTTTAATATCCATCCTCTTCCCTTAAACTTGCAAATCATCTCTACATATATACAGTGAAACCTCACCTAACGACCACTAATTACGACCACCACGCTATTACGGGCACTTTTTTTCAGTTCCGTTTTTTCCACTATATATCTTTGTATTGGTCGCTTTAGTATTACTACCACCCCGCTATTCCGTATTACGACCACTTATTAACGATAATTGACCTCACAATTACGACCACGGTCTGACCAGTGATTAAAGTTTACCTGGTGGGCAGTGAACCACGACATGTGTGTCATTCACGACCATTGTTTTCGTCACGGGTTACCGACCCTGTCACCAGGTGGCGTTAAACGAAGTAAACATCATTATCGGATTGACTTGGCCTACCTGTCCGAAACCGCGTGCTAGACACGTTTTAATAGCGATCTGTTGTTTGTTAATTATATTTTGATAGATCGGTAGGTATGCTGTTAAACACCTTAGAAGCCCTGCATACCCAAAAGTGAATTATGTAATTGTTTTGGCCGATATTCCTTGGCTTCCACACACACACGTTGTCGAGGGTTTTTAACTGTTTTTGTAGCAATGTTACACTCTCAATATCGTTTGAACAATAAAAAAGCGTGTATGTGTTCCAATTTTTTTACGGCACATTTTCTCTGTCACAAAACTCCGATGAACTTAATCAAGCAATGACGAAACCACGGAAACGAAACGAGCTATCGCGATCGGTAAAAAGGACGTATGAAAGAGGAGGCTGTTAAGATCTGTAGCTCTTCGCAATATTGTGCACTGGACTCCTTTTTTTTTAAGTGTTGTACTGAGTGGTACACTGATAAAGATAATGTGTTTGCGAATTTAAGTGAAAAATGAAGCGTTGAAAGACTTTATAGTGACTTCATTAAAGTTGTTACAAATACTGAGTAAATGTGTTTGTAAATTTATGTGAAATAGTTGCAAAATTAACATTAAATTCCAATTGAACTTAAAATGGATTGTTTACTTCCTTTTATTCAATGTTTACAATAGTAAATATACATGTATATTATGATATAAACTAAGGAAATACATAATTATTCTTCTGTCAATTCAGCAATTTTGTCTTTTTTACATGCATTTCATAAAATTCAACATTTTAGTTTATTATTATTAGTTATTATTGTTGAATAATATACATGTACATTACTTAATGATATATATACTCTTTATTTTAAACAGAGTTATGGTTCTTTGTGGTCAATCTGATCCACCTCACTATTAAGACCACTTTTGTCCAGTCCCCAAAGTGGTCTTAATAGCGAGGTTTCACTGTAACTGAAAATAATACACTACAAGAACATTTTACTTGACAATTGTACACATCATAAAGGTTTTATCAGCCGCCATTAAATTTTTCTTGGTTTGCTGTAACCTGACCAAATGGTGTTCAATGTAGGTAGACAGGAGAGGTCCTAATTATTTTTTTTCTTAAGATCTTTTTACTGTGAATGAATGCATATGTTATGGCTCTCACAGAGTCTAAAACACTCAGAATTATTTCTGAAACTTATCCTTCAGACGCTTACTTGTTTGTAAATATAAATAATATAATATATTATAATATAAGTGTTCATGAAAAAATAATGGTGAGAAATATCATTACCGGACAAGAAAGAAGTTTCCATACAGACAGTGGAATGGTGATAGAGATGTGGATGTTTTATTACATGCACATATCTGAGAAATTGTGAAACACATCAGGCAGACCTTGGAATAAAACCTAAGCTTGGTTGGAGCAGGATGAAGGCATTACCTTAACCCACAAATTATTTTAAGCAAACTATGTATGAGCCTGTCGTAGCTGGCACATTCAATTCAATTTAAAAGCAAACCTTTTTACCGTCAAAATGTATTAACTTTCAGATCCAACTTTTATTGTGGAGTGAATGCCAATATGTCAAAGATTGTCTGTCTGTATCTTCATATGCCCAATCACTGTCTTTTGTGTACAAATCCTATGGAATACTAATACAATATGCTGAATGTTTTGTAAATGTAAATTCCTTTATGCTAAATTTGAAAGGCTTCATCTCTAACTTAAAACTCATTTAGCATTTTGTGTAAAGCATTTAACATGTCGTACCTGCTTTTCATAGATTGCCTTTTTTGCCACAAATTTACTGACAATGAAATTGTGAGCTTCTCATTTAGAATATATGGAGTGTATTTATTGAAACTGATTAAATTCAGAAAGCGGTTTGGTAACATTCAGGAATACTTTCGATAAATTATTGAAATACCAAAAAATATTCATTTTCACATGTTGTTAATTTCCATGGAGATCCTTGTTGAATTGGATAGATCTATTTAAAACATATTTCTGCAATTCAGCACTGATTCATGCTTGCTTCCATCAACTGGCTGTATTTCCTATTGTCTAATTCACCAACGATGCTTTTAATTAGTCACTTACAAAAGTGTAGATGAAAGTTTTCATCCTTTGAACAATTACCCTGTTTTTTTTCTGCAGTTCACTATATATGTCCTAAAGCATTGTAAAATCTATATTTGAAATGAGAAAACAAATGTCCAATTCCTGTGGAATAATTGTGCAATGTTATTATGTATTGTATTTTAGTGTTGCTATTTATGGACTAAGACAGGAACAGGTTATCAGTTCAGTCACATTGCATTATACAGGGCCCTTTACAAGGTAACTCAAATCTGCTACTAAAACCCTGGAACTCACAAAGGTGCTTGAATTACTCATTCTTTCAGTACCATTCAAGCATTTCTGGTATGTTCTTTTCAAATCTGCAAAACACCTTCTTGAAAGAATCATGCGAAAGAATCAACATTTTGTTTTTAAAATAAAGAGGATTTTAACTTTCAGTTTGCAATAAAGAAAATTTGAGTCAGCACAATTTTTCTGTGTCAGATGGGTTACGTCAAACAAACTACATTTTATTTACTTTGGCCTCGTAACAAAAACTCTGTATAGATACATAATTATTCTATGATAACTACATGTGCCAATATAGAAATCCTGACTCGAAGTCTGGGGGTGGGCTTATTACAGGACAAGGGATTATTAATAAAAATATCTAATACAGGACTAGGAAACTTGGATGAATGGGCAACACAGTGGATATTAATATACCTGTACATGTTTTTGTAGATCTACTTCAAAATTTCTCTTTCCACTGACATTGTGCATGTAAATTACCCTATGTAAAAATTCAATTAAAATATGATAATTGTTTTCTACATTGATTTTCAAATCATATGTAGAACTCATTTCACATTTGATCTCGAACATTCCATATACCCGAAGATCATTCGAACCAGAGCCGATTGACTATCAACTTACTGACAATGTACCAGTACCACTGGCTGTCAAACCAAAACACACATGTACATATTAAGATAATGCAATACACCACACCTGTACATCTGGTATGATCATATGATATAACACACCTGCCAATGTGGCTGTAAGTATGGACAGATTGCATGATATACAAGTCCTGTAAATGTGACTGTAGGTATGGATAGGTAACATGATATACCGGAATTGTGTTTGTAAGATATATCTGGAAAAACATTCTGAAATCCATGTTACTGTATACATTAAATCTTTACTTTAATGTACAGTTGAAACTCATCTCCAATTTTTTTTCTTTGATATCTTGATAGTTGGGATGACTCAAATTTTATTTAGTCGAAGTTTCGGTTGGGTCAAAGCAATTTTTCAGTTCCTTCAAATAGAAAGCAAGGGAGAAATAATTTGTTGTCCCTAAATTTATTTTTGTCAAAACATCGGCACCTCTACTGAAGAAATCAGCCAATAATTACACAAAGTAGACAGTCATCCGTGTGTAACACATGGCTAATTACGGCATATCGGTCCATCGTACACACAACACTTGGTCTCTGGCAATTAATTACCAGTTTAATTATCCAATTAAAGAATGGTTTCTTAATTAGTGTCACCATCCTTTAGCAGTAACTTACCTGTACGTTAAAAAGTAGCGTTTACACAAAAC